GTAAGATTCTCGTTCAGCTCCAAACTTTCTTTCAACTTCCATAATCCTCTTCCTTTCTATCTCTATCTCTTTCCTTTCATCATTTAAAACCTTTTCCACTTTCAACACTTTTTCTTTATCTAAGTTTAACAGCTCTTTTACTTCAAACAATTCACTTTCAGATTTATTCACTATAGTAGTTAAGTCCTCAACCTGTTTGTTTAACCTAACTGTCTCTTCTGGATCAGCACAGGTTTTCATCAGTTCATCCAGCTTTTCTTGCAAAATTCTCTTCTCTTCTTTCTCTCTCTGAAGAATACCATTCAGATGATTTGACCATGATATACTCTTGCTAAGACTAGAATCTACTTGAACATACTTTTCTTTAAGCTCACGATATTCTTTAGTATAAAAAACTGCCATTTTAAAAAATAGATTGATCAGTTAAGGATCTATGCAGTGAAATCAGATAAAAGAAATATGAACAGTTAAGCTCAAAAAGAACAGAAAAACACAAACACTGAAAAACTCACGCAAAAACAAATATACAATGATCCAAAAAAAAATCTAAACATAAATGAACTAAGAAACTAAAAAAAACAAAAACACAACTACTAGAAAAGTATCAGAAGTCCACTTGAATGCTTCTCGTATCAGGTACTGCACTTGTTGTAACAGCTAACTCTGTATCAACTTCTGCAGACCGTGCACTTTATAGTTGCTGTTTCAAAGCTTCTTAAACAGGCTGCTGTCAACTGCTGTTAAGACCTGCTGGGCTGTATTTCCAATCTGCTCTCAATTCTTGCTGTGTTCTTATCTCAGGCCTTTTGAATAAACAATTTCTGTCACCTGTCACTTGCACTTTGCTTCAAATCTCAAACTCAACCACACAGAAAACAGATTGTAATAGCTCAAAAAAGTTATGAACAACTCTGCAAATAACCTGTCTATATCCAATCACAACAACAAGGAAAATCAGTCTGCTTAAACAAACAACATTAGTGGATTATGACAACAAACATTAAACAAACAATTTGATCGAATTAGCAAACAATATGCTATCAAAATATACACAAAAACTTTCAACTGTTATTGCTACTGCTTCAACCTAAGAGAAGCTGTCAAGATGAAGCAAGACAGAATCTAGAAGCCTGCACTGTTTCAAAATGCTAATGACCTACTGCTGTCCAAACACAATAGACAACAGCAAACAAAGTTCCAAAATGAAGCAGTTGCTGCTTGCTGTCAAAATGGTTATGATGATCGAGATACAACAGGCTAGCAAGTTCTGTTGCTGCTGTTGTTTAAACTTCAAATTCAAACCAGAAACCAAAAACAGTGTAAAATCCTGCTGTTTAAGATTGCACACAGCTACTTATTCACAAACACAAGCACAGCTACTTACTCACAAATCTTTGCTGTTGCTGTTCTGTTGCAAACTAAACCTGTGAATGATGCTGTCACAGATCTGTTTCACAGCTGTGTTGCAGTGTTACAATTTAGCTGTGTAACAGCTTTAAAACAATTTTAAAAAATATAGCAACCAAACAACACTACAATCCTCACCTGCTACAAGACCTGCAAACTGGTCACTGCTGCTGCTGTGAAGCTGCAAACTTTCACAGATCTGTTTAGCAACAACCTGTCAGCTTGAATGTAAAATCTGTCAAAGCAAAGTGTAAAATGAAATGCTGTCTTCTCTTGATGATCTTTTATCACACCTGAGCTGCTTTGCTGTTACTCACAATATAAACCAGTCACCTGTTCTTACTAAACCTGTCACCAATCAAGTACACCGGACACAACAAGAAAAAATAAGTGTAAACCTGTCAATACTTGATGCTTAAACCGAACAACACAACAATCTAAACCAGACAGCATAAGAGTCTTAATCTGTCAGCATGAGGCTTAACCTGACAACTAATCCAGATAATAGAAGGTAAACCTGACAGCACTGTGAATGGCTTAAACCTTACAAGATTGAGTGTAAACCGGACACTGTAAAAGACTCAACCTGACAGAACACGTTGATGTACAAAAACTCCAAGTACTAAACCGGACAGCACAAGATAAATCTGTCAACAGCAAATTGACAGATTAGAAATGCTCAAATAAACCTCACCAATCTCAATCGATTTTTGATAAGATATTGAACAAAATACCAAATTGAATCAAGAAACTACAAACAATCAAGAATCTGGGTAAAAATTGATTGAGCGGTTTAGAAGTTCGCTCAAAATACTTCAATGCACAAATTCTAAGTCCTAAACCGCTCAAGACTAAAACTTAAACCGATCACACTCCGGTCAAGACTAAACTTAAACCGATCACACTCCGGTCAAGACTAAACTTAAACCGATCACACTCCGGTTAAAGCAAAACCTAAACCGCTCACTAATCCGGTCAAGGGTTGTACGGTTAAGACTTAGAAAAAAAATCAGAATCTTACCTGTTAAGACGAATCCGAACACTCAGATCAAGATTGATCGATTTACCTCTCCGCTCGTTCTCCGCTTGTTCTCCGCTCAAGTGATATGCGATGAAGATGAATACCGCTTGAATGGTGTGCGGTTTACCCTTTGTCTAGAAACCGATTGAAGTAGAACACTCACCAAAGATGAACACTAACCGGAGAATAATCTTGTTGCTTATCCGGTCAAGAAGTAGAACAAAATAAGGCCCTTATCCGTATATAAAATGATGGGCTTGAAATTGGGCTTTAGAAATGGACGGATTAACAAAAAAAATTAAACAAAACAAAACAAAAACAGATTAAAACTAACAAAAACACAAAAACTAAAAAAAAATTTAAGAAAAATTGGATCAAAACCACTGGTTTAAAAAAAATTTCAAGAACACAAAAATCCAATTAAATCTTGGAAAAAAAATGATCAAATCACAAAAATTTGTGAATAACAAAGATTCACAACACAATTTCGAACATTTTGATCATATTTTTTAACATAAAAACACAAGATTTTATGAAAAAATCGGATCAAACAGAAAGAAAAATCAAGAACACAAAGAACACAACAAAATTCAGAAAAAAATTCACTTATCTTTTCGATTTCTTCATCTGATTTCTTGCATTCCTGCTCTGATACCAATTGTGTGTCCACAATATCTCTGATCAATCTTCATTTTATCACAATCAACATGGAAGATTAAGATACATCTTGAATGAACATGAAGAACACTTAGAGAGAGAAAGTCAATCCTCTCAATTCAGTCAAACCTCTCATTTATGTACGTGTGTATTACAATAAGCTCTTCTCATCTACTAATTACAAAGATTAACCTATTTATATGGTCAACCTATCTAAACAAAGTCAAAGTCAAACATCTATAAGAAAGTCAAACACGCTGACTTTTACAATTATAGACTATTTATAAACTTTCAAGACGAATACAATTAATACTGATTTCTCAGTCCTAACACTTATGTATTTGATATTTGACTACTTGGTTACGTGTTTTGGAAGTTGAACAAGTTACTTGGTTACGTGTTTTAGAATTTGAACAAGTTACTTGGTTGTGCGTTAAAAATATATGGCAATTTACAAATGGTTTAAATGATTGGATATTTCAGTTAAATTTTATTGAAATAAATTGATTCAGATTTCAGACTTCAGAAGTTTGTCAGTTTACAAAAACAAACAGTCTTATTGATTCARATTTCAGACTTCAGACGTAAAAACAAACAGTCTGACTAATTCAGATTTCAGACGTAAAAACAAATAGTCTGACTGAATCAGATTTCAGACTTCAGCACCACCTCTTAAAATTCAGAAGTGAATTCAGACTTCAGACTTCAGCACCTCTTAAAAAACAAACGCCACCTTCCTCGGTCATTGCCTTGACCGGACTCAGGCTATCTTGCTCAACCTTGTCAGGAATTCTTCCTCGGACACTCAACCAGCCTTGGCCATAGACTTTGAGATCGATTTGAACCTTTTCCTCGGACACAACCTCATCCAAGCTTCACATTATTCGCATATCACCTAACTCGGACACTATCTTATCCAAGGTTTTCTAATCCGCTTGACCTCTTGTCCGGTGTTCATCCAACTCGGATAACACTTTGTCCGGAGTTTACTAAGTATTGCTTGGTCATTCTCATTCTGATTCATTGATCTTTGCATAACCTTAACCTTTTTGTAACTTGGGTGATTTGTGTTTGTGTTTAATATCTCCAGCCACTACCTTGAGGATATTTGTTTGAGTTGACTGTTTTTCTACACATTGTCAGACTTCAAGGTTGATTGTTTGATTTTTTTTAACAGATTGGATTACAAGGATTTTGTTTTGGAATTTTAAATTCAACTTCATTTTTAACTGTTATTGCCTGGTTTCTCTTTTTGAATAATAGTTGAGTTCTGTAAAATTTGTGAAGTTTGAATAGTTTATCTGTGTGAGATTTTTGTGATATCTTTGATTTGTGATTCTTTAATCAATTTCATTTACTGCATAGATTCTTTATTTTGATCAATCTTGAATTTTAAATGACAACATTTTATGAGAGAGAAATTAAGGAACTAAAAGAGAAGTATGAAAAAGTGAGTCTAGAAAATAAGAAAAACTGTTCTTGGGCTATACTTTTATCAAATAGCAATGAAAGAATGGAGGAAGAGAAGAAGCTTTTAAAAGAACAAATAGATGAATTCATTAAAAATACTTCTGATTCACAGGAAAGAAATTTAAAGCAGATAAAAGAGATTGAAGAATTAACAGAGAAACTTCATAAAACTGAGATTGAACTAAATACTGAAAGGAATTTTCAAGAAAAGAAGAATAAAGAGATTGAGGAGCTAGCACAGAAATTGCATGAAGCTGAGAAGAGTTTGATTGATGAAAGGAAAGTTTTGGAAGAGAAGGATAAGATAATAGAAGCTTAAAAGAGATTTGATACTGAACGAAAATATTTTGAAAGCAAGATTAACTCTTTGGAGCTAAATGCCAAAATGCTTTCAAAGAAAATATCTGATTTTGAACAAATTATCATCTTGAAACAAGCCAAGTTTGATAAAGAGAAGAAAGAGTTTAAAGAAGAATGTCTAAGCAAGAATTTGGAATTGTTTGACAGCATTGTTCAGAAGAAGAAAGCACTAGATGAAGAGAAGAGAGTGTCTGCTCTTGAAAGAAAAACACTACTAAGAAAAATGCTGCAATTGCCAAAGAGCTTACAGAGAAGAAGATGACATTGCTTCTGAAAATGAAAAGGGAAGTTCAGATGAAGAGAGAAAGGAATTTGAGAAAGAAAGAAAAGGTTTTGAAAAGATGTAGAAGGAGTTAAAAAGTAAGATTTTGGAATCTTCAAAGAAATTGTCTGATCAAGAGACAGAACTTGTTACTGGATTGAACATGAGATCTGAACTGAAAATGAAATATGATTTCGTTGCTGATGAGAGAGACTAGTTACTCAAGAAAGTAAAAGACTTTTCAAGTGCTAAAAGCTCAACTGGTTCTCAATCTCATTGTAAAACTAGCTTTTATGACTATTCCAGTGTTAAATCCAACAGTCATTCAAGCAACCCTAAATCAATTGTTTCTAAGAACAAGTATCGTTCTTCAAGTCAGTTTTATCAAGGGTATGTCATTGTATCACCCAATTATTTTTCAAAAGCTAAACATGTTTGGGTTAATAAAGTTTATTCTGTTTTGTCTCATATATCTGTTGTGACTAACCCTGTTCTTCCTTGCATTGTGAGATCCACTAATGATTCGATTAATCTTAGCAAGAGAAGAATCATGTGCTCAACATGAAGAACCAATGACTTTGTCAATAAGAAAAGGTTCAACAGATGGTATGGAGACAACAGCTATCAGAACAGCTTGAATGGATTTAACAGGTATGACAATGACTGGTATGGATCTTACTGTTTATCTGAGCTGCCTGTTAAAAGTGCTAAAAAGAATACATCTAATAGGAATAGATGATTTGACAGTTACAACATTCCCCAGCCCAATACTAACCAATTAGGACCCAAGTTTGTCTGGGTACCAAAGTCTACTTGATCTGTTTTGCAGGTGTGCCATTGTATATGCCGACAAGGAAGATGTAGGGGAAGTGTGTAATCTGTCTGAATATGGCTTCTGAACAAATCATTTTAGGACCCGAGCCAAAATGGTTTCATTTTTTATTTTTGAGCTGAAAAGAATATTACTTAAATCTATTTTCTAAGGGGCGTTGTTGAAAAGACTTTTGAAAATATTTTTGAAATCTGAATTTTTTTTTTGTAAACGAGTACCTTTTCTGATCCGGCATTTATTGAGATTTTACTTGCGTAATTTCTCTTCGTACATAATTCAAATATCTGTTTCAGCTATTCTTCAAACTGTTATTATCATGTCTCTTAAAWGAAAATCATTTTCGGTGATAATACACTCGTTTGTATTCAAAGTTGTTTTTCTGAATTTTTTTTTACTTTGATTGGAATCAGCTCTATAGCGCCACTTCTTTTTCTTTTCAATTCTATCAACGACTGTCAGCTGCTGGCTCTCTACATCTCTCCTAAACTTCCCTCGGGTTTCGGCCTGAGCTATATTATTCTTTGATTGTCTGAATCTGTAAACTTGTACTTATAGATCTTCATTCTTTTGTCCCACATATTTTGAATATTTTTTTAACCTCATTTCTTGTTGATTGTGCTTAATTGCTACATTTTTCTTGTTCAATTTCATCTGATCGTTTGAGTTTATTTGCAATAATATTTTTGATCAACCATTTGTGATCATATGAGCTTACATTGTCTTTTTAGGAGGGATTGAGAGTTTCACAGAAATACCTCTGTGGTCTATCAAAACTGATAGCCCTACCCAAGAGGACATCCATATCTGAGTGAGCTTAAATACAAAATAGGTTTATGTGCAGAACTTAAAAATGAAAAAGAGAGGGGTAGTTGTTGTGAGCTAAAAGAATTGATGAGAGTTGTGTCAGGATTAAAAGATTAAAACAATCCTGTTCTATCCTCTATAATCCGGGCAAACCACAAAATCTATTAGTTCTCAATTCTTTGAAGACTAATATTGAAAAAGGCAAAGCCCAGACCAATTCTTGTTACAACCCACCAGCTACTCATTTATCTCTTAAAAGATAAGTGTTTCAATAACACTTGGGGCACGCAACTCACAATTTATCATTTTCTCATTTGAAGAAAATTGATATTAAAAAAGAAGGATATATGTCCCCCCTTTCAAGTCTTTTTGATCACATATTGAGTCAGATAAATTTGTGTAGTCCACATTGTTTATATTTTTGAGCCTAATTAGAAGCATTAGTTGCTTTATCTTTCTATACTACACAAATTTTGCAATATATTTGTATTTTGCCGTAACATTCATAGATATGCTTTTTATAAGCTATCGATGATTGAATGGAAGTCTTGGTGAGATGAACCTTAAAAAGTCTCATATATGAAGTACATTTGTTGTACTGAATATATTTGTTATCTTCATAGGCCAATCTTTATAAGATTGTTAAAAAATTCATAAGATGAATTTGGTTATTTTCCCATCTTCATAATCTGAAAAGATTGTACAAGCGGATTTAAAAAGATTTGCTTACAATTTTACGAATTGACAGCATACCTTCAAGTTTCATTCATTCTGATGTATAATGCAAATGCTTCTCATTTCATCATAAGGGGGAGTATAATATAATAAATGAAAATTTCTACGTCAATTTTGAAGATCGAGATTTTGCAAAAGATCCATGGAGTGTGAATATGATGACGAATGCTGAATATTTTGTGCTACAATATTGAAGGGAAATTGAGTGTGAAGATTTTATCTTTACAGAAGTTTACTAGAAGAGATTTCTAGAGGGAAGAATGTTATTTCTTGAAGTTGTTCAGAATGAAAGTTATCTGAAGAAGTTCATTGAAGATTATTTCTAAAGACTGTTGCTGTTTCAGTTCTTCAACAAAAGGAAGATTTAAACTGAAAAGAGAAAATTGTTTTTGTTCTACATTCGAGGGAAAGAATATTTTGGAAGATTTACTCAAGGGAAGATTCTTTGAAGAACATAAAGGGGAGAATGTTAGAAGATTAACTTGAAGATTTTAAGAAGTCTTAAAGTGCTTAAAGCGTACAAATTCTTTCAAGCCTGAATCCAAAGGGGGAGAATGTTAGAATTGATGTCACACCCCGCTAAAGCGGAAATGCGAGGTATGACAGGTAGAGTCTCATAGCAATAGTGTATAAACAACACAACCATACAATTTAAAACATAGTTACATCAAAACTAAAGTTTACAGTCCCAAATATAAGTTTACAACACTAAACATAAAAGAAGTTTTGGAATTGCTAAATGTGACACGCCTTCAAACAAATATCACCGAAAATCTTTCTTACCCTGAAAAAGCATGTCAAACAAGAGTCAACTACAAGAGTTGGTGAGTTCACAGGTTTTATATGCATAAAACGATTTTAAATGCAGCAAATCTTATTTATAAAAAATTATGAGCAATGACTTGAAAACACAACATACACATGATTTATATTGTTGAGCCACTACTAAACCTAGC